CTCAGGGGAATTGACAAAGTGGAAATAGATGAAATGTTCACACGTAATAATAACAGAACGAGGGGACATGGGTGGAAACTGGAAACTCAGATGAGTCACAGGGATGTTAGGAAGTTTTCTTTTAGCGTGAGAGTAGTAGAAAAATGGAATGCACTTGGGGAACAGGTTGTGGAAGCAAATACTATTCATACTTTTAAAACTAGGTATGATAGGGAAATGGGACAGGAGTCATTGCTGTAAACAACCGATAGCTAGAAAGGCGGGATCCAAGAGTCAATGCTCGATCCTGCAAGCACATATAGGTGAGTACATATAGGTGAGTATACACACACACACACACACACACACACACACACACACACACACACACATGCAGTTAGCATGTTAGTTAGCAAATGGAATGCATTAGGCAGTGATGTGGTGGAGGCTGACTCTATACACAGTTTCAAATGTAGATATGATAGAGCCCAGTAGGCTCAGGAACCTGTACACCAGATGATTGGCGATTGCGAGGCGGGACCAAAGAGCCAGAGCTCAACCCCCGCAAGCACAACTAGGTGAGTACACACACACACACACACACACACACACACACACACACACACACACACACACACACACACACACACACACACACACACACACACACACACACACACACGTACACACACACACGTACACACACACACGTACACACACACACGTACACACACACACACACACACACACACACACACACACACACACACACACACACACACACACACACACACACACACACACACACACACGTACACACACACACACACACACACACACACACACACACACACACACACACACACACACGTACACACACACGTACATACGTTCCTGTGCAACAAATATTCATCTCTTCCAACAGTTACAATTTTGCATCGAATCTGAGATTTGTTTCATACACTTTTACAAGATTAAAAAACAAAAACTACTAAAAAAAAACCAAATACTTTTATTTCCTTATATTCGATGTTTTAGTCGGAATCATCTATTGTTGTATTAGCTTTTAGGAGAGCATTACTGTCAGTATTGACTCAGCCAATATGTTTTTGTTACGAGATGTTGAGATCAGATCTCCCTATACATGGTGACAGGGGCCATGGAGGCGGCGAGTACCGTGTAGTACTCGGCCACAAGCTGCAATATTGATCCCCTTCCTGGGGGGAGCGGGGGAGGCGTCGCCATGGGCAGTGAACGCTGCTGGGGGCAGCGCGCGACAGGAGAATATAGACAGTTATGACTAGGGGGACAACCACGGACGAGAGGAGAGACAGACGGACACGCCACTGAGCACACCACGGACGGAAGGATAGACAGACAGACGCACACTCCTGGGGACACCGGAGACGGAGGGGACGGAGAGCTGACCAGAAGGAGAGAGAGAGAGAGAGAGAGAGAGAGAGAGAGAGAACATCCTGGCACAAGAATGCAGCATCTCATCCTAAAGAACTCCATATAATATTGGCATTCTTTCCGGCTCCTGGAAACAACAGGATCCTCGCCGACGCTGAGGTCTGCAAAGCTAATTGAACCACCTCTGCCGCCACTGATGGTATACTGCACTATTTTGCTGAGGCTGTCATCGGCCAGCGCCTCTCTCTCTCCCATACGCGCGTGCTGCATGATTCATACCAGCGTCACCCAGCTCGCAGGAGGGAAGGGGAATGGGGATGATGATTGTGAGGAGGGAGAGGAGGGGGTTGTGGGGGATGAGAAAGGGGTTGTGGGGGAGTAAGCTTGATTAAACAGGCGCGTGATGTCAATGTCCAATTAAGTATTGGGCGAGCGAGTTCTAACTGTTATCGAACAAGGTACTGAATACTTACGCAGGTTGCCTAAGCTTATTGTGCTGAGCCACGACGAGTGCCGAAGCTTATGGTGCTGAGCCACGACGAGTGCCGAAGCTTATGGTGCTGAGCCACGACGAGTGCCGAAGCTTATGGTGCTGAGCCACGACGAGTGCCGAAGCTTATGGTGCTGAGCCACGACGAGTGCCGAAGCTTATGGTGCTGAGCCACGACGGGTGCCGAAGCTTATGGTGCTGAGCTACGACGAGTGCCGAAGCTTATGGTGCTGAGCTACGACGAATGCCGAAGCTTATGGTGCTGAGCTACGACGGGTGCCGAAGCTTATGGTGCTGAGCTACGACGAGTGCCGAAGCTTATGGTGCTGAGCTACGACGGGTGCCGAAGCTTATGGTGCTGAGCTACGACGAGTGCCGAAGCTTATGGTGCTGAGCTACGACGAGTGCCGAAGCTTATGGTGCTGAGCTACGACGAGTGCCGAAGCTTATGGTGCTGAGCTACGACGAGTGCCGAAGCTTATGATGCTGAGCTACGACGAAGTACTGGTGGAAATCCTCCGGCGCGAAACTCTTCCGGACAGAGAGCCACGAAACACAGCCATGAATCTTTGAAGGTCCCAAGGGCGCCGCCCCTCCATCACCAGCATAAGTAGAGAAAAAATAAAGCGTAGCAACGGGTCTGAATCTGCAGCATGACTTTGCAAGTGCAGTGGAGAGAGAAAGAGAGAGAGTGGGGGGATGCTTGCAGGGGAAACGGCTGTGTTGATATCTGAGACTGTCGTCGAAAGCAGCAACGACAAATCAACGTAAACTGTGATATAAGAGGAAGAGTATAGTGTGGTTGTGTGACTGGCTGTGTGGTCGACTTGAGCCCCGCACGAGGGAAAATGTGACATAGCTTCCTGCGGACATCGAAGACTTGTAAGCTGGTGTAAACAAAGAGGAGACCAACAGGTCTTGATGTATATATTTTCGCAGCTCGCTACGCGGCGCCAACGTTTGGGAACCGATAATATCTTCATCTCCAAAGAGGTGTTGTCCTTTATTCACATATTGTAGAAGTTATCGCAAAGATCGTTTGTTTTCTTTCACGTACTGGTGGTGTATAATTTATAAACTGCATTGATAGTGATGAATTCACATTCTTATGTGGATATATATACCTGTGCCTCTTGTAGGTTTCGAAAGGTCTACTCTCCGAGCTCGGCGAGGGTCCAAGCTTGTTTGGTGACAACTTGGTCCATCAGGCTGTTGCTTGCAGCAGCCCGCAGGCCCGCATGTTGATCATAGCCCGGCTGATTCGACTCTTCCTGCAAGAATGTATCCAAGTGCTTCTTGATCACATCCAATTTTGCTCCCGAAATATTTCTTATACTTAGTGGAAGGAAGTTGAAGCGCCGTGGACCTCTCGTGTTCATAGTGTTATATGTGTGTTCTATTTGTTCCATGTGCCCTATGTGTTATGTGCGTTCTATGTGTTCTGTGTGTCCTATGTGTTCTATGTGTCCTATGTGTTCTATGCGTTCTATGTGTTTTGTGTGTTTATGTGTCCTATGTGTTCTGTGTGTCCTATGTGTTCTGTGTGTCTTATGTGTTCTGTGCGTTCTGTGTTCTGTGCGTTCTATGTGTTCTGTGTGTCCTATGTGTTCTGTGTATCCTATGCGTTCTGTGCGTTCTATGTGTTCTGTGTGTCCTATGTGTTCTGTGTATCCTATGTGTTCTGTGCGTTCTATGTGTTCTGTGCGTTCTATGTGTTCTGTGCGTTCTGTGTTCTGTGTGTCCTATGTGTTTCACATGTCCTATGGCACCTCTATTATTCACTGGGTCTGTTCTGCACTCCCTGCCAGGTATTTCGCTGCAGTAAGTCGTTATTTTATTGCATACAGTTGGCACCTGGCCTTCGCGTATATATGAAATATTAATGAACACACGTAAATATAAATTACAGGACTAATGGGATAATAACATAAACTTGAACTTTAGTTAATGTTCCAACATTCTAAAATGTCACTTTAGATTGACATTTTAGAATGTCAAAATTCTTAGAATGTCAAAAGTTTTAGAATGTCAGAATGTGCTAAAATTCCATAATACTAAATGAACCTTTTTGGTGTCCAACAGAACACGAACCTATCCTAACCTGTCCAAGTAATCCTAGGCCTATTATACAATATCTTAGTCCTAATACACTACACATATGTTCTATACTAGGCCTAGGAATGTTTAAGTTTAGTTTTTACCATTCTTTCTTGGTCTCTGCAAAAGTTTACTCAATGTGAACTTTTGGGGGCCCAACAGTACATATTCGTACGTTCGACCAAATAGGCTTTACAAGTAAAATTATTTCAAGAGGCTGGACTGGTTAATACCTACACATGCACTTCGCTTGGTGCTCAGTATGTAACTTTAAAATGTTATATATATCATTAGATTAGACTCAATTAGGTTCGGCTGGGTTAGGTATTGGTCCGGTTATGTCAAGAATGTTCTAAAACAATTCAAAGTCTATTAGCGAAACTCTATGTAGGTTCACCAAGTCATGTATCCAGTCCCCACTACGTCAACATTCCTCACTCTCCACTCACTCCTACTTCAAGCTTTTAAACATCTTCATTTTGCAAAAATATATATACTTTTTTACTAAGCTTAAAAGTTAACTTGGACCTTGAATCAAGTTTGCTCAATATTTTATAACATATATGTTAATTTCAATCATTTACAAACCCAAAATATACGTAACATTAAAGAAAAATGTTTTAAATGTTTATTGGAAAAGTGTTGTAAATCCTGCGAGAAAATGATGTATAAATCTGACTCCCAAAGATTTTTATTGCCATATTAGTGAACGTTTCCCAAGTTGGGGGGACAGTAATCGAGCAATCAAGTTCAGTAAAGTGTGCGCACGGGGCTGTGGAGCTCTGTGTCTTGGCACGGGGCTGCGGAGCTCTGTGTCTTGGCACGGGGCTGTGGAGCTCTGTGTCTTGGCACGGGGCTGTGGAGCTCTGTGTCTTGGCACGGGGCTAGGAGCTCTGTGTCTTGGCACGGGGCTGTGGAGCTCTGTGTCTTGGCACGGGGCTAGGAGCTCTGTGTCTTGGCACGGGGCTGTGGAGCTCTGTGTCTTGGCACGGGGCTAGGAGCTCTGTGTCTTGGCACGGGGCTAGGAGCTCTGGTCTTGGCACGGGGCTAGGAGCTCTGTGTCTTGGCACGGGGCTGTGGAGCTCTGTGTCTTGGCACGGGGCTGTGGAGCTCTGTGTCTTGGCACGGGGCTGGGAGCGTTGTGTCTTGGCACGGGGCTGGGGAGCCCTGTCTTGGCACGGGGCTGGGAGCTCTGTGTCTTGGCACGGGGCTGCGGAGCTCTGTGTCTTGGCCCGGGGCTGCGGAGCTCTGTGTCTTGGCCCGGGGCTGCGGAGCTCTGTGTCTTGGCACGGGGCTGGGGAGCTCTGTGTCTTGGCACGGGGCTGTGGAGCTCTGTGTCTTGGCACGGGGCTGCGGAGCTCTGTGTCTTGGCACGGGGCTTGGGAGCTCTGTGTCTTGGCACGGGGCTGGGGAGCTCTGTGTCTTGGCACGGGGCTGCGGAGCTCTGTGTCTTGGCACGGGGCTGGGAGCTCTTTGTCTTGGCACGGGGCTGCGGAGCTCTGTGTCTTGGCCCGGGGCTGCGGAGCTCTGTGTCTTGGCCCGGGGCTGCTGAGCTCTGTGTCTTGGCGCAGGACTGGGATAGGGGAGGGGGGTTCTGTGTCGTGTTACGACTCATCGTCGAAGTTACTACAGGTCGTTGTGGTCATGAAAAGTTGTAAGGGTTTTATACGACATGTCGTTGACGTTTTTACATGTTGTAGAGGTTATGACACCACTGTTGGAGGCAGGTATAGGAATAAGTCCAGCTATAGGAATTATGCCAGCTATAGAAATAAAGCCAACTAAAGGTATAACCTGGCAAACTCACAATTTAACGGCCCCTATGATTCTCCCTCGTTACAACTTGTAAAAGCGTTGTTAAGTCTTCTTATATAACGTTTTTATGATGTATTAGAACGTTGTTACAACTCGCTATATTGGTTGTTACAATTGTCAGAAGGTGTTAAACTTTGTTCGGACGTTGCAGTAACGTCACTGTTTAGTCGTATGTTTGGCGGGAAAGGCCTGCTATATAAAAAGAAAACCAGCTATAGGCAGAGGGCCAACTCTAGAAATATGGCCAGATATAGGTATAAAAGCTAGCAATAGGCTCACCAAAGGTTTTTTCCTTTTTAAAACACTTTAAAAAAGTGACATTTTTGTTTTTTCCGTTTCAAATCACGTTTTATAAATGTTATAGTGAGAATTTTTTAAAAACTTTTCAAACATGTAGCCTCAACATTTAAAACAATATTTTTAACCTTATGCCACTGTTTTTAGACAAAACGTTTCTTAAACATTACATACGGTAATTATTTATTTTCATATAAATAAGTAATAAAAATGGGAGACAAAATTATAATAATTGTATAATAATTTTTACAGAATTGAGATTCATTTACATAAGGAAAAAATATTAATTGTTAGCCTCAATTACTCAATTATATATATGTATATAATATATATATATATATATATATATATATATATATATATATATATATATACATATATATATATATATACATATATATATATATATATATAGAGAGAGATATATAGATATAGATATATATATATAGATATATATAGTTATAGTGACCACAAGAGAGAGACCAGAGAGAGAGAGCCTTGAGAGAGAGATGACAATAGTTGTTAGTGACCACAACACTTGACAGTAGTGACCATAGAGGCTGAAAATTGCCGTGACAGATGATAGTGACAATGGCAAGTGGTATAGTGACCATAACAGTTGACAGTGAGCAAAAAAGTTGATAGTGATCATGACGGTAGATAGTACTGTACTGTGTGAACCTCTCTACTATGATCACTGTACTGTGTTAACCTCTCTACTATGACCACTGTACTGTGTGAACCTCTCTACTATGACCACTGTACTGTGAGCCTCTCTACTATGTTCACTGTACTGTATGAACCTCTACTATGATCACTGTACTGTGTTAACCTCTCTACTATGATCACTGTACTGTGTGAACCTCTCTACTATGATCACTGTACTGTGTGAACCTCTCTACTATGATCACTGTACTGTGTGACATGCGTGAGAATTACAAATCAACGTGTGTCTATTATTTCAACAAACCTTAATATTTTTTCCGTAATTTCTTAATTTTACCTTCGCACCGAGAAGACAGACAGACAGCCAGACCTCTGCCTCTGTTGTCTGCTTGCGAGAAAACGCATCGTTTCCCCCGCTGCTTGCAGCTTGGCTTGCACTTCCTCCTTGATTTCTGGCTGTGTGTGTGACCTGGAGAATTGCCTTCAATCTGATACATGACAGTTCTGGAGTCCTGGCAAAGGTCTGGTTTTGCATGAAGTTCACACCTGATGCCAACTAACCTGTTCTCCTTTGCTGTTTGGTGTGACCCTGGCGGGCAGACCTCTGCTGTATCTGTGAGGTCGACGTGGTCCTCCCTTCCCCAGCCTCTCATCTTCCACAACAGCGCTTTGTGTGTAGATGATCGCGTGGTTACAGCGATCTAAAACGGTAATAATGGTGTGAGTTTGATGGGCACCAGCAGAAACGTCAGTCTTAGTTGGTATCTTCAGAGGTTATCTTGAGATGATTTCGGGGCTTAGCGTTCCCGCGGCCCGGTCCTCGACCAGGCCTTCTTTTTGTTACACACACCCCCCAGGCAGCAGCCCGTAGCAGCTGTCTAACTCCTAAGGTACCTATTTACTGCTAGGTAACAGGAGCATCAGGATGAAATAAACATTTTGCCCATTTGTCTCCGCCTCCTCCGGGGATGGAACCCGGAACCTCAGGACTACGAATCCGAAGCGCTGTCCACTCAGCTGTCAGGCGCCCTCTGATGATACATTACCATCTGTATCATACCATCTGGGTATGTCCACAACAGGTGTAGGTACGATGCCATCTGACTACAGAGCACCGGAGAAAGGAGGTAACAGGAGAAAGGGCCCCAGGAGCTGACGTCTTATGGTCCCTAACGCTTCCTTGTCTTCGGGCCAGAACACTCGTGGCATATAGTTTCGTTTCGCATTGTGTTGAGGACATCGGTTAGTGTGTAGTTTAGTTCAGCTGTCCGGCGTTGAAGACCTGATCTAGTGGTCGTGACGGCAGCTAGACGAGCTGGTCATTACCACTGATCACCAGGTCGTTAAGATCACAATCCAACCGCTCATTTTCACCCCTGGCCTGGTTTCCACAACTCTGCTGAAACGCTTTGGACCCTCGTAGCAAAGTTTAAGGCACATGCAGGATAGCTTAGATTCCATGTACGATGGCTTAGAACTCGTGTAAGATAGCTTAAGAACCACGTAAGATAGCTTAGAACTCATGTGGGATCCTCTATCAACAATCTAAATGAAAATCAAAATCTTGATCACCAGCTTCATTTGCAGAAACTAGCTAGTGAACCAGTGAGCCGAATGGCCGGCCAATCATCTCTTCGTGGGCTTAAAAACTGAACTTGGATATGATAAAGAACTTTTGCTAAACTTTTTTAATACTTTCGTGCCAGGCTGTGGGCGGGTGTACCCCCCCCCCCCCCCACCAGCACTTCCTTGAGAGACTCGGTATCTCATGCAATATTCAACCCAAGAAGTTGGTCTTGAAGTATCGTGCTTCCTTGGGACTGTCTGCGTAGCTTTGTGGAGAATTGCGAGTGCTGGGGTTCGGTAAGGAAGCAGTTAAGATAGATTATTCTTGGTAGGAGTGAATTCTTGGCTCAGGACAGTTCGTCGAGTCTCGTCCTGAAGGCGCCTATCCCAGCCTCTTCTAGAAGTAGTTCGTTAAATGTCGTCTCGAGGGAGTTCGTTGAATGTCGTCTCGAGGGAGTTCGTTGAGTGTCGTCTCGAGGGAGTTCGTTAAATGTCGTCTTGAGGGAGTTCGTTGAGTGTCTTCTCGAGGGAGTTCGTTAAATGTCGTCTTGAGGGAGTTCGTTGAGTGTCGTCTCGAGGGAGTTCGTTGAGTGTCTTCTCGAGGGAGTTCGTTGAGTGTCTTCTCGAGGGAGTTCGTTAAATGTCGTCTTGAGGGAGTTCGTTGAGTGTCTTCTTGAGGGAGTTCGTTAAATGTCGTCTTGAGGGAGTTCGTTGAGTGTCGTTCGAGGGAGTTCGTTGTGTCGTCTTGAGGGAGTTCGTTGAGTGTCTTCTCGAGGGAGTTCGTTAAATGTCGTCTTGAGGGAGTTCGTTGAGTGTCGTTCGAGGGAGTTCGTTGAGTGTCTTCTTGAGGGAGTTCGTTAAATGTCGTCTTGAGGGAGTTCGTTGAGTGTCGTTCGAGGGAGTTCGTTGAGTGTCTTCTTGAGGGAGTTCGTTAAATGTCGTCTTGAGGGAGTTCGTTGAGTGTCGTTCGAGGGAGTTCGTTGAGTGTCTTCTCGAGGGAGTTCGTTAAATGTCGTCTCGAGGGAGTTCGTTGAGTGTCGTTCGAGGGAGTTCGTTGAGTGTCTTCTCGAGGGAGTTCGTTGAATGTCGTCTCGTTCGTTTGAGGGAGTTCGTTGAGTGTCGTTCGAGGGAGTTCGTTGAGTGTCTTCTTGAGGGAGTTCGTTAAATGTCGTCTTGAGGGAGTTCGTTGAGTGTCGTTCGAGGGAGTTCGTTGAGCCCGTCCTCATCAACGAAGGCCAAATGTACGTTAATCCAGCCGTCAGATTCCACGTTTGTGAATAAAAAACAGTTCACACACGACTCACAACTGATGACGTTCGAACACTTCCGGAACAAATGCTTCACTGACGACTTTTGTTCGAACCACAACGCTGTAAATGCTTCACCCACTTTCTGCAAATACAAATAATCGCCAACAGAACCTAAACACCTAACCTAACCTATGCCTAAATATACACAATATGCAAATATATAACAATATTAATTTATATGTGAGAAAATTCCTATTTTGAATGAACAGCATGTTAAAATTAGTGAATGCGTCTTTGGGGTCGACCACCGGATGGAATGGACTTGGTCAGAGGACGGGCTGGGTTGATCACCCGTCCTCCTAATCTCTTTCTCATTGTATTTATATGCCTATACGTACCCGTCCTTTGTGTTGCTTTCTCTGCTATTGGTTCTCATCTGCTTGTATCCCACCTTTCATCATGCTGTTTTAGATTTAGCTACTCAGAACGAAGTATCCATGTAGCACGGGCTATGGTGAGCCCGTAATGTTCCTTTCATCACCTGATGTCTCCTTTTATTCATCAGAGTACCTTATGAGAGGCGAGCTTCCCAACTCGAACGAGCGTCCAGGTAGTCTTCCTTCAAGCACCCGCTTGGTCACCAGGACGGCAGACTGGTCACCAGGACGGCAGACTGGTCACCAGGACGGCAGACTGGTCACCAGGACGGCAGACTGGTCACCAGGACGGCAGACTGGTCACCAGGACGGCAGACTGGTCACCAGGACGGCAGACTGGTCACCAGGACGGCAGACTGGTCACCAGGACGGCAGACTGGTCACCAGGACGGCAGAATGGTCACCAGGACGGCAGACTGGTCACCAGGACGGCAGACTCGTCACCAGGACGGCAGACTGGTCACCAGGACGGCAGACTGGTCACCAGGACGGCAGACTGGTCACCATTCAGGCTGGACCACACAGCGTGGGGGGGAATGCAAGCTGGTGAAGAACGACAAGGGAGGCGAGGGAGCCCGCCCACT